ACAGATTATCCCATATGAAACCTGCCAGCACAGACAGCTCTGGATGGCCTTGGTATCTTGGAGGCCACCCCTCATCTGTCCTCAAAACAATGGGGGGGAGGGTGGGTGTGCTTTTCTTTCCATAGAAAAGAACATCTTTCAATGCAGGTGTCCATAACCAAAATTGGGAATCCGCCTCCAAAATTCCTTATATCCAAGGATTGCTCCCAGACAAAAGCTGCCATACAAACAGGTCTGGCTGGCCTTGGCCTCCTTGGAGCTGCCTCTAATCAGCCTTTGAAACACTGGGGATCTGCCCTCTCCTTCCTGTGGAGAAGAACTGTCATTCTGGTCCAGGCACTTATGGCTGAAATGGAATTCCACCTCCAAAACTCCACAAATATCCAAGGGTTGCTTTCAGACAAAAGCTGCAAGGACAGACAGGTCTGGCTGGCTTTGGCCTCTGGTGACTGCTTCTGATCTGCCTTCAAAACCCTGGGGCTCTGTGGTTTCCTCCCTGCAGAAAAGAACCGTCCTTCTGGTCCAGGCAGCCATGGCCTCAAGCACATGAGCACTGTACAGGGACAGAGGAGCTCTGTGCTCAGTGGGGTGGAGACTGAGGACAGCAGAGGAGAGGCCTGGGAGGGATTGAAGGGTGGTTTCAGAGATGGTGGATCCTTTTGACATAGTAGAAAAAAGACAGAAAAAGAAAGAATTAATAAAAATGGCAGCTGGGGAGGTCCAGACTGGACACAAGGAGACAGGAATTTCCCTCCCAGGGCAGGGCTGTGGTGCAACACATCCCCCAGAAGGGGTCTGGGTCAGCCCCAGGCTTTGTGTGGGCAGGCAGAGGCAGGCAGGAGGCAGAGCTGTCAGCAAAGGAAGGGCCCAGTCAGGTGGGGCAGCCAGGGGATGAGTTTTACAACATGGCTTCTGTGCTCCAAGACCTGTTCCACATTGCCAAAAGATGGCTGCAGCCTTGGGAGATATTTTTTGGCCAACACCATTGTCAATCACTGTAACAAGGTGACCAGGAGATATTCACATCAGACCTCTGTCATTAGTTTGGTTCCACTGAAGGACAGAAGTTTATTCTGTATTATCTTCATTTTGAAAGTAAGAGCAGTGATATTGGAGTCTTCTGTAGCAGGGGACGTGGTATACCATATGGAACATGTGGACCATGGTAAAAGATGATAAATAAATAAATAAAATACATTAAATTTAAAAACACATTTATAAATAAATAAATAAAAACATTCCCAGATGTTTCAGGAGCACCTCAGCCTCATGCTCTGGGAAGAAAACTTATCACCATCAGTCAGCAGAGTGGCTCTCCAGATGGCTTTGCAGAATGGCTGGTATTAGTGCCTAGTGCTACAGGGTTAATATTGGGGTGCAAGGAAGCAGCATTTTTGAATTTCACTAGACTTAATATGGAATGTTAGGGGAAGAACCAAAGAAGGAAAAGGGAGGGATCAAGGTGGTTTGGAGAGAAATAGACATAGGAAAATAGAGGAAGAATACAATAAGTGGGGTCAGTCATGCTGACAGATGCTGACAAATGCTGATGAGTGTGCTTGCAAAGCCAAGCCTGCACTGTTCCGTAGTACTCTGTTTCCTCATTAGACTCAATGTGTATTTTCTGACTGCTCTGCAGAGCCAGAGGGGTCTGGTGGAGTCAGATGAGAAACCTTTTTGCACTCTTGTCTGTGTGTATGAACATGTCTGTATGAGGCAGCTGAAAAGTTGAGGCCAGCTATGGGGTGGTCCATATGGTGTTGATAAAGGGACCCTTTATCATGGTATACCATGATAACTTATCCTTTGGGGCTCAGTAATCTAAAGATTTATATAATGTCTGATGGATAGGCCTTAGTTACTCTTAATAACCCCTTTTATCATCTTAAAATACAAGTGGCATCAGGTTAGTTATAATTTTACCCAAGAATTTCTTTAAAAGGAAGCACCATAAGGCTGCAGGACAAAGTCACTTCCCAGTTGTCCTCTTCAGTTATGTTTTAAGCTTCCAGAACAATAGTTGTATTGCAAAACGCATGGATTCTAACTTGGCCCCTTCCTGGAGTGCTATGGTCATGATTTCCAATGCCTAAAATAATTCCAAATATTTTAACCTTTGAATTAGATATTACACAATAAGAAGGACACCCTTCTATTCAGAAAGGTCAGTTTCATAATAATGAAAACCACCAAAGGATAGTATAGGGACTTATGATCCTATATTTTCAGAAAAAAGGATGAGAATTTATGTTTTGCTCTTCTGTAGCCATCCATGTGGACAACATTCCAATCTGCCAAGGTATGTGTCCAAAAGGTAGAGGGGGCCCTGTTCCCAGAGCCTGCAGGGACAGAGGCGCAGGGCAGGGACACCGTAGGACAGCCTGGGCTGCACAGGGCACAGGCATGGGCAGCAGCTTCAAGACAGCCCTGCCAGAGCCAACTTAGGCAGCACTTTGGCCATGGCTGCTGGGCCTGGGCCTGAGGCAGGAGCAGGAGACAAGTGACCCTTGCAGGCCTGGGGCCTCATGGCCTCCTTGTCCCTGCTCAGCAGCCTGGCAGGGGCCGCCCCATGCTCCTGCCCTTGGCATTGCACATCCCCACATGCCAGTGCCCATCCCGGCAAGAGCCCTGAGCAAGGAGGGAGGGACAGGATCTGCCTCGCCAGGCCCTGGGGCTCAGGCCTTGGCCCTAGGCATTCCTCAAACACATCCAGCTTTGCTCAGCACCAGAGACACCTTGGCCTTGTTTGTCCCAAGCTGTCATCACTGCCTCCAGTGTTCTGCTCTAACTGGAACCTGGGGACACTTTCCCAGTCATGTTCCTCAGTGGGACCCATTAAAACTTCAAGAAACTTCAGAGTTTCAATTTAATTTTGAGTTCTTGAGAAGTTTTCTGAAGACAATCTAAGGGACTGATTTTGATGTAAACAACACCAAATCCCCAAGAGGCTCATTAAAGTCCTTGTGCTGTGTCTGTGCTGCTGAGCTTTAAAGGAACAGCTCTTCCCAGGGCCAGCTCCTCTCCCAGCCCAGCAGGGCTGAGGGCTCTGCCTGCAGGCACTGAGGGGACAGGAGCCAGGCAGAGACAGGCTGAAGGCAATCAGGATTGGGAAGACATTGAGCTGAGACTTCACCTGGGGAAAGAACTTCACAGCCCTGTGCATGGTGAGTGTGTGGGTGCAGGGCAATGTCCCCTGTGCTCCTGGAGGGATCTCCTGAAGCCAGCACACCCCAGAGCCTGGGGAATGTGTCAGGAGGACTCTCCCAGTTTCTCTGTGGCACAGGAGAGGGAGGAGGAGGAGGATGTGCTGCAGAGCAGGGCTCCCCTTCTGAGGGGACTTGTCGTGAGCTCATTCAGGGCAGGAGTTTCCTGCTTGGGTCTCTGCTTTCCTGAATCTGTGCTCCCACTTTTCACTGGCTCACCTGGGTGGCAATGGAAACTCAGCTGTGCATAGGAGAGCAGGGGCTGAGACTCTTAAACCATCACCCTGAGGATTCCTGGGAGCCTCAGCAAGTGCCTGCACCTGCCCAGCCTCCAGATCCATGCAGCATCACCTTTCCATGGTGCCCAGGCTGGGGGAGCTGTTCTTTAATCCCTGCAGGGCCGAGCAGCTGCAGGGCAGGGCTGGCCCAGGGCCTGGGCTGGGCTCTGGCAGCTCTGGCAGGGAAGGAGCCCGGAGCCACAGGAGCAGCTGGGGCTGGGGCAGCTCCAGCAGCAGAGCCGTGGGCAGGGAGGGAGGGAGGCAGTGCTGAGGGCAGCCCTGCTGCAGGGCAGATGTGGCACCTGCCAGGCCTGCCCTGCAGGGCAGACACTGCCCTGAGCAGCACAGCTCTTGTGTCCCCTCGCAGCCAGCACAGCCCTCAGCCCAGGGGCTCGGGGCCCTCAGTCCCTCCTGGGCCGGCAGAGCAGCCCCAGAGATGAAGGGCATCTCTCCAGCCATGTGCCCATTCATTCCCTGCTGACCAGGGCCTGAGGGCCACTGTCCTGCCCTGCTACTGCCTGGCAGGGGCTGGGCAAGGAAAGGCTTTCCCTCAGGCCCGGCTCTCTCTCCCCTTGCCTTGCCCAGGTGCTGCTGGCATTGCTGAGGGGCTCTCTGGAATGGCAGTTCCAGCTGCAGGGCCAGGCCCAGCCCTTGGGCTCCTCCTGTGCAGGCTGAGCACAGCAATGGGGTGTCCCAGCTCCCTGTGCCCGGGGAGCTCTGGGCAGGGCAGCCTGGGAGGCTGGCAATGAGCCCACTCTCCTGACTCTGGGAAAGGCAGGAGCCACTTTGTGTGCCAGGCATCCCTCTGCTCTCTGCAGAGTCTCCTGGCTGCCCAGGGTAACATGGGAGTGGATTTCAGAAAGGTGCAAGACCAGGGCAGCTGGAACAGGAGAGAGGGACAGAGCAGCTCCCCTCAGTCTGCACTAAGCCTCAGAGAATCCTCCTGACTCTCTGGACTCTCTTTTCTCCTCAGGTGCAGCAGAATCTCTCATTCTGCCTTCTCTTATCCCCATCCCTTCACCCAGGCAACTCTTCAGCCTTACTGGAAGATTTTTTGTCCAAGTTCAGAAACCCAGACTGCCCCTGCCTCACTGTTCCCCTGCACTGACTGGGGGTCAGGGCTGACTCCCAGGTGTCCTGTAGGCCAAGGTCCAGCTCCTGACACAACATTGGCCTGCAGCAATCAGGGCTCCAGCAACAAAGGTGAAGGAAGGTCCCCTAGACATAGGGGGAGGTGTTCAGTGGCAGGAAAGGGTCTGTGACAAACGGCTTTGACTTTTCTGTGAGAAATCTCCCCTCAATTATCACTGTGATTGCTTCTTCAAAAGGTTCCAATGTCCGGAGACAGCAAATGCCCAACAGCAGCTCCATCAGGCACTTCCTCCTGCTGGCATTGGCAGACACGCGGCAGCTGCAGCTCCTGCACTTCTGCCTCTTGCTGGGCATCTCCCTGGCTGCCCTCCTGGGCAACGGCCTCATCATCAGCGCCGTAGCCTGCGGCCACCACCTGCACACGCCCATGTTCTTCTTCCTGCTCAACCTGGCCCTCAGCGACCTGGGCTCCATCTGCACCACTGTCCCCAAAGCCATGCACAATTCCCTCTGGGACACCAGCACCATCTCCTACTCAGCATGTGCTGCACAGGCTTTCTTCTTTCTTTTCTTTATCACAACAGAGTTTTCCCTCCTGACCGTCATGTGCTACGACCGCTACGTGTCCATCTGCAAACCCCTGCACTATGGGACCCTCCTGGGCAGCAGAGCTTGTGCCCACATGGCAGCAGCTGCCTGGGCCAGTGCCTTTCTCAATGCTCTGCTGTATACAGCCAATACATTTTCCCTGCCCCTGTGCAAAGGCAATGCCCTGGGCCAGTTCTTCTGTGAAATCCCACACATCCTCAAGCTCTCCTGCTCACATTCCACCTTCAGAAATATTTGGATTTCATTGCTTGGTGTCTGTTTAAGTTTTGGCTGTTTTGTGTTCATGGTTTTCTCCTATGTGCAGATCTTCAGGGCTGTGCTGAGGATCCCCTCTGAGCAGGGACGGCACAAAGCCTTTTCCACCTGCCTCCCTCACCTGGCTGTGGTCTCTCTGTTTATCAGCACTGCAGTCTTTGCCTACCTGAAGCCCCCCTCCATCTCCTCCCCATCCCTGGATCTGGCAGTGTCAGTTCTCTACTCAGTGGTGCCTCCAGCCCTGAACCCCCTCATCTACAGCCTGAGGAACCAGGAGCTCAAGGCTGCCCTGAGGAAAATGATGACTGGATGACTTCTGAAGCAACCAATTGCCTGTTTCCTTCTGCATAGTTTTCAGAATGGAACTCATGACAGGCCAAACAGGCCTGCCCAGGTCTTTGGTAGTGTTCAATGGGGTTTTCTGTTATAAAATTATCCTCAATATATTTTTTTAATCACTCCCATCAAATTCACTGTCTGCCTCTCTAATTTGACGCAGAAGCTCTGTAAACCAGGGATTTTGCTATCGCTGCATTTGAAGAAAATAAACTACCTTGCAGTGCTTGTATTATCTGGGATCCCAGCTCAGAGACGTGCATGAAGTTAGAGGGGAGAAGGGGAAAGAGTCCCAGCAGAGCATCATGGCCAGGGAGCAGCAGGGATTGGTCCTTTCAGAGCTGCCCTGCCCAGCTCCACCCTGTCCTTGCCAGCCCTGCTGTGGCTCTAAGGCCGGAGTGCTCTGGCAGCTTGGTCCCTGTCCTGCTGCGTGTCCCTGCTGTGGCCACAGGCAGGGCCAGGCCATGGGCACTGCTGGGACACAGCTGGGCTCCAGCACAGCAGCTCCATCAGCAAAGGGCATCTCCTGAGGGCAGGGCAGGGAGGCTTTGCTCTCCTCCAGAGCTGCTGTCAGCAATGTGCTCCAGGAATGCCCTGGCCCAGCAAAGCCCAGGGCCTGGGACAGGGGGGAGTGTGCAGGGGGGCTCACAGCAGTCTCCTGGCCCAGCCAGAGCTCCTGGCATGGACCTGAGGCAGCAGCAGAGCAGGGCCTGGGCTGTGTCTTTGTCCTGGGACAGCCTGGGAAGGTGCCCCAGGGCAATTGTCCCACAGCAGCCCCTGCAGCCACCATTGCCAGCACTGGCCTCTCCCCACCTGCAGGAGGTTGTTTGTCCCTGCACGGAGGGACACCAAGGGACCAGGCCAGCAGGCCGTGTTTGCTCTGTGCTGAGGAGATCTCAGCAGTGCATGGTGTGTATGTGGGGAGATGAACCCCAGTGAGCACAAACACCATCAGCAGCACCCGGGGGTGGCACAATTCCAGTGGCACAAAGAGTGCCTTGAGGCCACTTCACTCTGAGAGTAACATCCTCTGGGAAAACACCTGGATTCTTTGCTGGGTTGTGGTTAGGACTGCATGGAGAGAAATATCCCAGGCAGGGAGGCTCCAGGAAAAATGCTCAGGGCAGCCATGGACTGCACAGAGAGACATTGGATAGAGTGAGGGTCTGTGGGGAGAAATCAGAGCTGCCTCCCTTCTGAACCAGCCCGAGGACCTGACAGGGCTGTGCTGTGTTCTGGGCACTGACCTGGAAGTGAGGGATGTGGAAAAGGCCTTTGGTGTCAGGGCTGTTGAGAAGGCTGGGCAGTGTCACTGTGGGACCTCTCTCAAACCCCTTGGAAAGGCCAGAGCCATCCCAGAGGGTCCTGGGCACTTGGGAAGGGCAGACATGGAACCAGTCTGCAAACAGGGCAGGGAGAGGAACTGGGAGAGTCACAGCCTGGTCAGGCTCAGCAGGGAAGGGGATGTGGCAAATCCTCCTGCAGCCATTCCAGGCACTGGCAGGACAGGGCAGGCACTGCAGAACCCACGTGGGAGGGAAAAGAAGGGGACGTTGTGTGCCCAGACTTCAGCCAGGCCTGGGACAGGGTCTGCTGTGGTCTCCTCAGAGCCAGACTGGAGAGAGCTGGGCTGAAGGAGTGGAACATGGGCTGGGTGGGAATTTGGCTGAACAATGAGGGTCAAATGTCATCCATGGTACAGAGTCCTCTTGGCAGCCTTGCCCTGGTGACATCCCTCAGTGACCAGCCCTTGACCACCACTGTGGAATATTTCTATTGTCTCTAAAATGGCATGAAATAAACGTTCAATTCCTTTATGGATGCTGCCAAATTGCAGAGAATCTGTGACTGAACTCATCTAGTTAATGGTGACTGCAAAATGTAATTGGGCAAGATGACTGAGTTGGGTAGATTTGTCTTGTCATCAGGTGCCAAGCAAGCCACAAGAAAGGCCAGAAAAAACTCATGCATCAGAAGAAAGGAAGTTCAATAGGGAAAAACCCAAATCCAATGAAAAAAACCTCCAAACTCAATCAAAAAAAAGGCACAGCAAGACCCACTAAAAGAAGAAAAGCAAATCCTCAGGAAATCTCCTCTTAGCAGAAAATGTTTTACTACCCTGTGGCAGGAGAGGATTATGTATGTGTTGGTGCTGTTTTGAAAGAAAAATGTCTTAAAAATAAATTATTCCCTACCCCCCTTGCCCCTCTGCTTCTCTCAGTCGATTGCTGATCATGGTGTGACATGGAATGGAACATCTCTTGGGTCAGTCCAGCCCAGCTGTCCCATCCCTGTTCCCCAGGAACACTTGCCCACCCCGGGCCCATCGGTTGGGGGGGTTGCAGACGCCTCATGCGGGGCGAGCACTGAGACAAGGACAGGAGAACAGAACAACATTTACTCTTGTCAAGGACAGTAGAACAGAACAGCACAGCCTTGGAGAAACTGATTGAGGATGTGCCACTGGCAAAAAGAAGCCACACAAAATGCAAGCAGGATGCCAGCTCAGCTCTGCAAGGCTGACAAAGCAGAAGTTATGCAGAACAATAATATTGCCCTTACTCAAAAGGAGAGGTCAAAGAACAGCCACCTAAAAAGAACACTGGATGTTGAAGACAGACCCCAAAGAACCATAAAAGGATTTGTGATAAGGGGTGCAACTATTTCAAATAAATTCAAAGACATGGGGGTAGCTCATGGATACGTAATCAGTGTGTGTTATAAAAATTCTGTCCATTCAATGCTCAGTGCAGTCGAATGGAGGAAGGATGGCCCAAGTGATCACCATGCTGTAATAAATAATACCTGCTTTCAAATACTCAAAACTGTTCAGAATTTTCAATCCAGCAGATTTCAGTATCAGTGGTGTCCTTGGCTCCATTATGCCCCACAGTTTCACAATGGCCCCTTGGTTCCATGAGGCCCTACTGTAGAACAATGGACCCTTGTTTCCATTGGGTTCTGTATTGTCAAAATGGCCTCCTTGGTTCTGCACTGCCTCAATGCTCTCCTTGGCTCCACGAGGCCTTGGTGTGTCACAACAGCCCCTTGGTTCCATCAACTGCCACAGTTTCACCATGGTCTCTTGGATCTGCAGTGTCACAATGGACAATTGGTCACAAGCAGCCCCGCTGTGTCACCATGAATATTTGGTTCCATGGGGCCCCAGAGTGTCACAACGGCCCCTTGGTTCCATGAGGTTCCACAGCATCACCATGGTCTCCTTGGATCTGCAGTATCTCCATGGACCCTTGGTTCCATGTGGCCCTGCTGTGTCACAATGGGTCCTTGGTTCCATGAAGCCCCACTGCATAACAACGGAATCTTGGTCCCATGAGGTTCTGTACTGTCACAATGGTCTCCTTGGTTCTGGACTGTAACAATGGACCCATGGTTCCAGAGGTTCCATGATGTCACAATGGTCTCCTTGGTTCCAAAAGTTTCCATGATGTCACAATGGTCTCCGTGGTTCCCTGAGGTTCCATGATGTCACAATGGTCTCCGTGGTTCCCTGAGGTTCCATGATGTCACAATGGTCTCCTTGGTTCCAAAAGTATCCATGATGTCACAATGGTCTCCTTGGTTCCATGAGGCCTTGCTTTGTCACAATGGATCCATGGCTCCATGAGCTTCCATGGTGTCACCATGGTCTCCTCAGATCCTCATTGTCACAATGGACAATTGGCTCCATGGGCCCTGCTGTGTCACAATAAACCCTCAGTGCCATGAGGTTCTGTGGTGTCACAATATCTGCCCGGTTCAACGAGGCCCTGGAGTGTCACAATGGCTGCTTGGTTCCGTGAGCTTCCATAGCATCAGCAATGGTCTCCTTGTTTCTGCAGTGCCATAATGGACTCTGGTTCCATGAGGTTCCTAAATGTCACTGGTCTCCTGGGTTCCATGTGGCCCTGCTGTGTCACCACGGCCCCTTGGTTCCATGAGTTTCTGTACTGTCAGCAATGGTTCCTTTGTTCCAATGAGGCCCTGCTGTGTCCCAATGGACCCTGGGTTCCATGAAGTTCTTCAGTGTCACAATGGCCCCTTGGATCCATGAGGTCCCACAGTGTCACCATGGTGTCCTTGGATCCACACTGCCATAATGGACCATTGCTGCAGCTGGAATAGCTGCTAATAAAGCCCAGGGTAGGGAAGCACAAAGGGCCTTTGCATGGTACCCACAGATGTTTAATTCAGCCGTGCAGTGAGATGTTCAGGATCACAAGGCAGGACTCCTGGGGGGAGTCCAGGTTTCTGTATCTCCAGAGGAAGGGGCTGATCAGTGCCATGGGGCAGTACAAAGATGGGGCCAATGTGGGAATAGGGAGGGAGTGGCTGAGGGACACAGAACAAGGGGAAGGAGCCAATGGGGTTGAAAAGCTTTTGAGGGAAGCTTCTTGTGTCTCACTAACCCACGGAAGCCTCTCAGGATCACCACAGCTGCAGAGTGTCACAATGGCCCCTTGGTTCTATTGGGCTCCTCAGGATCCCAGTGGCCCCTTGGCTGCATGAGGCCCAGCTGTGTCACACTGGCCCCTTGCTTCCACTGGGCCCCACACGATCACAATTGTCCCCCCTTTGTTCTATGAGGCCCCACAATATCACAATGGACCTTTGGTTCCATGAGTTCCACACTGTTCCATGAATCCTTGGTTTCACAGGGCCCTGTAGTGTCACAATGGTCCCTTGGATCCATGGTGCCACACAGGGCCACAATGGCCCTTTGGCCCAACAGGGCCTCATAGTGTCACAATGGACTCCTTGGTTCCACAGAGACACAAAGTGCCAAAGGGGCCCTTTGGTTTCACCAGGCCTCAAAGTGAAAAAATGACCTCCATGGTTCTATGAGGACCTCCTGTGTCACAATGGACTTTTGGTTCCATGATGCCCCATAGTGTCACAGTGATCTCCTTGGTTCTGCACTTTAAGAATCCCCCCTTGGCCCTTGGAGCCCCACAGTGTCACTACTGTGTCCTTGGT